AGAGTGGCCATGACAGTATCTGGGTAATCGTCGACAGATTGCCCAAGTCTGCCCACTTCCTGCCAATCAAGGAAACATACAAGATAGAGAGACTGACCCGAATCTACATCCAAGAGATAGTTCGACTGCATGGTGTACCTGTGTCCATTATCTCTGATCGAGATAGCAGATTCACCTTGAGATTTTGGCAGTCTTTGCAAAAGGCTCTTGCAACTAAGCTGGATATGAGCACAACTTATCATCCACAGACCGACGGGCAGAGTGAGAGAACCATTCAAACCCTAGAAGACATGCTGAGAGCGTGCGTTATCGACTTTGGTAGGTCGTGGGATATCCATTTGCTATTGGTCGAGTTCTCTTACAACAACAGCTATCACACTAGCATCAAGGCTGCTCCTTTCGAAACCCTTTATGGCCGTAAGTGCAGATCCATTCTGTGTTGGGCTGAGGTGGGTGACACGCAGCTAGCCAAAGGTCAAGTCCCTGATAGCACTCTCACTGGCCGAGAAATCATCCGAGAAACCACAGAAAAGATCGTACAAATCCGGGAACGACTTAAAGCTTCAAGAGATAGACAAAAGAGCTACACCGACAAAAGACGAAAACCTTTGGAGTTCCAGGTTGGTGACCGCCACCTGTTAAAGGTCTCGCCCTGGAAAGGCATGATACGCTTCGGAAAGCGTGGAAAGCTAAATCCGAGATACATTGGGCCTTTCGGGATCCTCGCCAGGATCGGCCCGTAGCTTATAAACTTCGTTTACCCCAAGAACTTAGCAACATTCATCCCGTCTTCCACGTGTCGAACCTTAAAAAGTGTTTATCCGACGAAACCATTGTGATCCCTCTTGATGAGATCGAGATCAAGGAGAACCTTAATTTTGTGGAAGAACCAGTCGAAATCATGGATCGGGAAGTCAAACGAACGAAACAAAGTCGCATACCGATAGTGAAGGTCCGCTGGAATGCCAAGCGGGGACCTGAATTCACTTGGGAGCGAGAAGATTCAATGCAACAGAAATACCCTCATCTTTTTCCGAGTCCATGATTTGTATTCTATGTTAGAATTTCGGGACGAAATTCCCTCTATCGGGGGGATGATGTGACAACCCGAACCTTTTTCCGTTTACGTTAGCCCGATTCCGTTAAATAAATTTTGAATTTTATTTTGTTCCGTCAAATTCTCATAGCTTGGAAAAGCATTAATTTATATAATTAAATTTTATGTAAGAGTCAAAACCAAAATCGCGCGAAAACCCGAGTTTTTCTTCGAGAATCAACAAAACCCAGTCTAATTGGTGTTCACGGTCGTGAACCTGATCACGGCCGTAAACCGATCACGGTTGGTGGACCCCACCAGCGACCATAAACCCAGCCTATATATACATGTTCCTACCCTCATTTACACTTTGCTGGCCGAAAACACTTTCTCTCTCTAAAAACCCCCATCCGAAAACTCAAGTTTTCTCTTCATCTATCACTAAATCCATCCTAGAACTCGTTGTGGAGCATCAAGGATTCATCCTTTCAGTGAATCAAGCATTGTTGTTCTTGAGATCACGGCCGTAATCCCTTCAAATCTTCAAATGTTCAAGGGCCGAAATCAGTTCACGGCCGTGAACCCAAACCCTCATATTTTCACCAAGAACACCAAGAACAGATGGTGAACCATTCAAGGACCGTAAACCCTTCAAAGGAAGTGAACCGTTCACGGTCGAGAACAGTTCACGGCCGTAATCCCCTTCATGGCCGCAATCAGCCTACATTGAGAATCTTGGATGCAAACCCACTTTTTCCACTTCGATCGAGTCTCGATAACATTCCTTAACCAAAAACAAGTGTTTTTCAACACTATAATTAATGGTTTCTCTAATAATACACATATATGTATTTAATTATTATTAGGATCCCGTTAAGTGTCGCGTATATCAACTCGAGGGTCTTCGTTTCCAGTCTTGTTGTCCGGCACATTCACGCAACCAACTGTGAGTTCATACCCCTACGCTTTTATTATTTTAACGTTTTCAAGGGGGAATACAAGCCAAACACAAATACTTTTTGTGAACTTTATACACATAATTTCAAACAAGATTAAAACTTATGCAATTGATACAACCAAAAGATCACCACATTTTATAAAATGTTTAGATATCTTATCCCTTTTGTAACATGCTGAGCATAAGGGAAGTTTTAACTCACAACTATAATTGCATAGTTTTTCAGAACAATACACGAACCGAGTACTTAACATACATGCAAACTATAATAGGTATAGTTTGGGATTTCAATACACAGTTTTACAATTTCAGAGCTTATACATTTACAAGCATATAAACTATGATAGACTTAGTTTATGATATACATTACTATCTTTCGAATAACAAGAATACATTACTAGATAATTATTTAAGTATAATTATTTTTACTCTACAAGACATACATTTAGATGCAAGTACGAGATAACAATATTAAACAACACGTAAACTAGTTAATACAGGATTGTGAGACACTACTTCAATTTGTACCCTTTCGGGGTACTAAACTAAATCCTATCATAGTATAACCAGAGTCTCCTGGAGGGAGAACGTGAGATTTATGAATAGATCTATTCGGGACTGACAATCCCACACCTGAACTGCGAGCTACAGTTAGGCAGGCATGCCTGAGGTGACAAATGTCATATATCCGACACTTGAAGAACGTCGTAAAGGTCACTAAGTCATATCAATCATGGTTATACGACTCACAATAGTATAAAGTAACCATTTGTTTACGGGATTCTTTTCTTCAATTAGTTTTATTTTCATTAATAAAATTATCATACATTACAACTGGAGGATTCCAGGAAATTTGAATACATAGTTTTACTTTAAGTAATGAAACTACTATACATACTGGTGGTAGCCAGGGTTTTTCATATAAAACATTCTATACATGATTTTCATACAGAACTCACCATACAATACATCTGGTAGTAACCAAACATATAAACTAACATTTTTCATATACTACAGCGGGATACCGTAACAAACATTCATAGTTAATTCTATAATTCCTAAGTTTATGCATCTGGGTTATGTATGAAGAATATTCGATAGACTGTGGAATGTGTGGTTTCCGCCTCATTTCCTGTTCCTTGTTTGGTTGTGGGCTTAGGGCAGATCCACATAATCAACTGTCTGTTCGATATTGGTTTATACATAACTAGTGTGAACTAAGTAGTCATAGAAGGAATTGGTATTATCACGCCTTCATTAAAGAAAATATTTGACTTTCTTGGAAACATACAAACATTTTTACAGATTCATCAACAAGTTTTCATTACAAAAACATTGCTTATGAACTCATCAGCTTTAATGCTGATACTCTTTTCAAAACTGCTTGTATTCTCAGGAAATCAGTAGACAGGTACTTCTGCAGACTTTTGAAGAAGACGGAGCGTATAGAGTCACGTCTTTATATTTTGCTACTTTTGGTGTATACAAATTATGTATCAAACAGATGTAAATATTTTACTTATTCAATGTAATGGTTGTGTTTACTTTGATTACTATGATGCAATTGTTGTGATACTACACATGACGTCCTCCACCCATGAACGTTTCCGTCGTTTCGGTTTGGGGGTGTGACAAAATATAAGTTGGTTATCATTTTAAAACATAAAATCAGTTATTGGCAACTTTAAGACATTTTTAAAAGTTAGTTTCCAAAAAAAGTAATAATTTTTTAAAATTTTTTATATAAATAGTAAAAAAAAAATGTAAGTTTTAAAGCAACACAAATTCATTTAATAGATGACATCTATTAAATCTTTAAACACGTTGATATCCTAAATGTCGGACTCAAAATAGTTTGAGTTTATGGGTAGTTTAACAATTTAAGATCGAATATTTTTGCTACAAAGATCAATCGTATATACACATTATCGTACCATTGTATTCTGTAGTTTTTACATGTCGCAAAAAGTTGAAAGAATTAGAATAAACGTAAAGAAAAAAGTGGTTGACTTTCTAATTGTAATACGTATCCAAATAAATGTTATAAAATATTACACAATGGAATTAAATAAATCAAAACTAATAATGTAAATATTTGATATTATATATACACCTAGTGTTGTTTTGAATATTAAAAAAAACTTGAAATTATTTTAATATGCAAATTCTCTACACAAATATTATTAAAAAAGCGCAGAATAAAGATAACCCTTCAACAATAATCTTATAAGGCCATGAGGTATGGTTTTGAGATGTTTACGCGTTTTAGGCTGCCACATAATATAAAAATTCACTCCACTACATGTTTATTAGTAATGGGGTGATGTTCACTAGTGAACAACCAGTGAACAAGAGAGAGAAAGAGAAAAAGAAGAGAGAGATAGAGAGAAACCGGAGGAATGATTGGGGAGAAAAAATTCAGCCAATAAAATTGTTCGTAATCGTCCGTGAATAGCTTCAATCCGCGTCACACCCACTATAGAGGGGGTGGTGTTCACACGTAAATACCCCTCCACGTCAGCTGTCACGCGTGAAAAACTCATCCATACCCTTTGCCCTAAACATAGCTTTTGGATAGTGACCTAATTATGTTCGCTTAAATTACACCCAAGTAATTAACTACTTTACCCACTTCACAAGTCAACCGTCAAATACACTTCTTTATTATTTTAATTACAATAGATAATTTGTATATAATATTTTTATAGTCATTATGCTTATACAGTTTTATTATACAATTATATAAAATATAAATTATACATTTTATTATTATATAAAATATAAATTATTGTGTATGACTAGTATAAATTATCACCCTTAATAAAAGTTATGGCCTTTTTCTTGATAACTTTCAAGAAAATGTATACAAAAATAATAACAATTGCTTATAAAATCCTCTAAAAAGACGTTAAATATAACATTACATTCGAAATAAATCATGACTTATATTTCATGGAATATAACTATATAAGAGTTGTACATTGTTTTATATTCAATTTTCTTAAACTAATATTGACTGCATGAATCTAATCCACAGTTGAGAATTATGAACTCATTCCCAGCCTGTGATTCAATCGAAAAGAAAACAAAAAAATTTCCAATCACAAAAAGAAAAAGAAAAAGAAAAGATAATTCAAGAAACTTCTTTTCTCAACACTTTACCAATGCAAAATCACCTCTTTCGTCTTCTTCGATCCTACCTGCTTCTTGATCAATAATGTTCTCATCATACGCTATTTTGCAGCTTCTGAAGAACACACACCCACTTATGGCATCAATTATGATGAGAATGGAGTACAAATAACCAATGAATAATCCCTCTAATACCATGCTTGAACTGGGTCTGTTCATCCCGGAATCGGAATAAGCTTTCACTACCCGGAACTGGAAAAGAGCTTCGATTCCTGCTAACGCCATGTTTATCGGCAGCGCTAATGATAGAGCGATTGAAGTTCTTCCTCTGATCATAACACACGCTTTGAGAATGGAAATGAATCCGCCACTCAGTTCCATTCCTGAGAGGATTAACGCCAGGTTGCATACGATCAAGGCATTGGCTATGATGATGGAATACACGATTCCTCCGGCAACGGTGAAGAACAGTGAGGGGATACGGAGGTTTTCCAAACAGTTGAAAGCAATGAAAAGAACCCAAAAACAAGTAGCATTTGCAGAGACCATAACCAAGGTGTTCCATATCTGTGTTAGGAGGATGGAACTGAAGATGCCGGCGAAGGATGGTGGTGGTTTCCGGTGGGTGTTGAAGGATTGGATTACGGATGCTTTTGCGATGAGGAGGAAAGAGAGGGTAAAGGGTAGGACTAAGATTGATGATGTGATGGTTTGGGATAGTTTGAGGTTGAGAATGGAGAAGAATTCCGATTGTGGAGGAAATCCGGCGTCGTTGAAAAGTGACCGGAGACGGGAATGAACGGCGAGGGAATGAGGGAGGAGTGTGGAGGAGATGAGAATGGAAACAGAAAACGGGAGGGCTAAAATGGCAGCAGTCGTGAAGTAATTGTAGTGGTGGAGGAATGTATGAATAGATTTTCTAACGATTTTGATGGTGGGTTCCATCGGAATTAAGGAGAAGTCCGGCGTTGGTGATTCCGGAGAAGATGGATGAGGGTGGTGTTGATATGGGGTTATGTTTGGTGCATTAGATGAATGGAAAGGCCACCAACTAATATCTAACTAACCACCCCATATAGATGGAGTCGTTTCTGCTTAATTTTATCTCCTAACAAAAATTTATTTATAAATAAAGTTAAAATTCAAAAAAACACATTACATCATCAAAGTCATACTACTTTTTCATCGATCTATATAATTTTATTTCTTAATCATCTAATTTAACAAGCTATAAATTTTAGTCGCATATGTTAATGTAAGAAACTTAACATTTTATCAATTTATATTATACTTTTAATATTTTAAGATATGTTATTATTTTTGTTAAGTCAATATTTTGTTTAATAAATTAAAGAAATTAGTTTGTTTTTTACTGAAAATGTTTAATTGCTTTTTATTAGACATATAAAGAACTTTTTCACTAATCCTTTATTTCACATTATTCTCAACGCAACAACCAAAAAATCTTACTATGACTCCATTATATTAAAGTTCTTTTACTCTTCAAATTAACAGATCATTAATACCTTATTTGACTTAATTACCTCTTTGATAAATCAAATGATCTAGCATATTAATTGACTTCAACTAATTATGCAACATTGATATATTATACTTTAATATTGAAAAAGTTGTTTGTATATTATAGGATAAAGTATATGTGTGTGGGGGTTGCGAGGTTGATGTGTTTTTGTCATAGGTTTGGGTTTGGGTGGCGTAGAATGGACTCATAATAGAAATAGGAGTCGCTCCTCTCAATCATCACTTATCGACTTTATCATTAGAAACCCCATTAACAACTAACATTATATACCATTATATAATTTATATCATGCATCAACTATTTGTTCCCTACAAATTATCATAGCTTGTTTTCTTCTTGGAATAATTATTTATATGTCCATCAATAATTATGGGTTTATAAATCTTTAATGTTTATTCTATGGGATAATGTATTTATTTATGGGTACTCGAGTATTTTTCATGTAACAAGTAGATCATTAATATGACCATATTTGAAGACATCAAAAGTGGTCACTAATGTATCGATTTTGTATCATTCACATTACCTTTCTACGTTAAATGTCACAACACCCTTTGCTTTAATAAAAAGTTACTTATTCTTAAATGAAAAGCAATACAAATTGATGGGTTTTTATACAACAATAAAAAAAAAAGTTTAAACTAACTTAAACTTTTAAAAAATGAACCAACGCATCACATACTTGTACCGTATTTGAAGGTCTTTTTGTTTCAAGTATTTTTGTTCAAGAATTCTATTTTAAATGATTAACCACCAACGTTTTATCACTTGAAACTCGTAGGACTTGTAAGACATGATAACACATGCATGTTTATTAAAATAAAAAATAACTAAAAATATGTTTTTTTATTTAATTTGTAATTTATCTTTTGACAAACAAAGAAGATAAAAAAAAATATGAAGTGAGTAATTCGAAAAATTTCCACAATCAAAACTCTTGAATTTTTTTTTTTTTTAGAACGGAGTCATTTTATAAAAAAACTAACACAAGGCTAGAAAGAGAAATTACATAAAGAAGAATGATTTTTTACCGAGCTAACCCACTTAACAACAAACTTAGAATTTCTAGCATTTATCCACATAAAAGACTGAGATTGAATGAAGTCCCATAAAGCCACCTTAATCGGTTTAGACCGAGAAAACACCTGTTTATTTCGAAAAATCCAAATTGTACAAAATAACACAAACCAATAACATTCAAACAACTTCTGACCGAAACAATCAACCGAGCAGAATCAAGCCAAGATAACCACTTAGAATTATAAGAAAAAAACTGATAAATCAATCATCATCACCTGGCTAAAAGCCCCCATAGATGTAACGACATATCACAAGAGAAGAATAGATGATTAATAGTCTCTACATCTGAATCACAAATAGGGCACAAGACGAATTCAATCTATATACTTTTTTCTTTAAAAAAACTTTCGAATATGTTTTTTTCTTTAAAAAATCATATTTATACAGAAAAAACATATTTTCACATAAAAATATTATATTTTCTATATTATTTTTTTAATAACTTTTTCGTATACGAAATACCTATTTTTAAAAATAAGTATTTATTAAGTACATAAATATATACAAATTCATTTTTATAAAAAAACGTATATAAGCACATATTTTATAAAAAAAATCTATACAAACACCTATTTCATAGTAAACGTATGTGTATGTATACACACACACACACACACACAGAGAGAGAGAGAGAGAGAGAGAGAGAGAGAGAGAGAGAGAGAGAGAGAGAGAGAGAGAGAGAGAGAGAGAGAGAGAGAGAGAAGATCGGGTTAGGACTCATTTTAAAGTGAAGACTCGTGAGGACACATTAAAAAAATTGAAAAAAATCTAAAAGAAAATACAAATCATAAAATCGAGCATAGTACTATATCCGGGAAAAAAATTGGAAATTTTTTTTTGGATCATTAAAATTGAAGCATGGATCATTATCCATGCTTCAATTTTTATAATCATTGATTCAATTTTAATGGCGCAATTTTTTTTTCAATTTTTTTTCTCCCAGATATAGTAATATGCTTGATTTTATGAGTTGTATTTTTTTAGATTTATTTTCAAATTTTTTAAGGAGTCCTCACTTTAAAATGAGTCTTCACCGAAACCAGACCCTATATATATATATATATATATATATATATATATATATATATATATATATATATATATATATATATATATATATATGTATATATATATATATACACACACACACACACAAAGAGAGAAAGAGAGAGAGAGAGAGAGAGAGAGAGAGAGAGAGAGAGAGAGAGAGAGAGAGATAACTACGTTCAAATATGGATTGACATCTATTGTGAGGACGTGTGGACAATATTATTCTGTAATAATGACAAAGAAAATTGTTGTTTGATAATCTGAATACATTCAATCTTACAAAGCTATTGTCATTATCACACATTCTCATTAATTAAATCGTCTATAAGATTATTATAGACTTTTTTTTTAACTATTCTCATTCTGTCAGAATGTTGTCATAATTTTTATTGAGTCGTATTCTGTAAGAATGAAAATGACTTAAAAACAATGCGTGAGAACAAAAATGAATAAGAATTAGTAAGAATGCATGAAAATTACGATAGTTGTGTGACATTGAATTTATTTACATTACTAGACAACATATTTTCTTAGTAATTCTCATATAATAACATTGTCCACACGTCCGCACAATAATTATCCATCCATATTATAACCGAACCATATATATATATATATATATATATATATATATATATATATATATATATATATATATATATATGGTTCGGTTATAATATGGATGGATAATTATTGTGCGGACGTGTGGACAATGTTATTATATGAGAATTACTAAGAAAATATGTTGTCTAGTAATGTAAATACGTTTAATGTCACACAGCTATCGTAAACTTCATGCATTCACACACACACACTAGCCTTTTTTACCCGCGCCAAACGATGAGTGCAAATAGTTTCTTTCAGTATTATTTCTATTCGGTAACATGTATGATTGAGCTCCCAACTTTGACACAAATGTAATAAGAAGGTAAACTCCTAAAAGTGAAATCTAATTTGCTTTGGAGGATGGTAACTTATAACTTGGAAATTAACCAATTTTGATATATTATTTTGGGTTTAAAATAAATATATAACGTTGTTTAGGTTGAAAAAAAGTTATATGACAATAAATTTTGTTTTTTTTATTTGAAGACTGCACATTTTTTATTAGTGATCAAAATTCCTTTTGAATTTTGAATATGAGTAATTATTTTATGGTATTAATTCTTATATAACTATTATTTACAGTATACATTTGAGAAGATAATTTACTTCTCAAATTATGTTTTTTTATATATATATAAACATGTTTTTATACATTTGTATATATATATATATATATATATATATATATATATATATATATATATATATATATATAAACATGTTTTTATATATTTGTTTATAAAAATGTGTTTGAATATATTTTTATAAAATACGTGTTTGTATACATTTTATATATAAACGTGTTTGAATACAAGTGTGTTTATTATAAAATAAGTGTTTATAAATAATATATAAATGTATTTTTATAAAAGAAATGTATACAAACACTTATTTGGGTGCATATAAATATGTTTTTACAAAATGTATTTATAATAAAATAGATGTTTGTATAGAGTTTTTCTTCTAAAATACGTGTTTATATATATTTTGTTATAAAAATGGATTTGTATATATATATATATTTATGTACTTAATAAATACATGTTTTTATAAATAAATATTTCATATACAGAAAAGTTTTTTAAAAAAGGTGTTTATATAGAAAATATAAGATTTTTTATGTGAAAATATTTATTTTTTTATAAATTTGATTTTATAATGAAAAAATATATTCGAATTTTTTTTTGAGAAAAAAATGTTGTAAAAGAAAAATTAAAATTATGATGAATTAATAACAAAATTCCGAAATTTGGGTGAAAAGGGTAAATTTTGGACCGAATTTATAATAAAATTTAAAATCTAGGCAAAAAATGTAAATTTTGGACCAAATTTGAAAAAAAAATTAATATTTGCCAAAAATGTAATTTTTAAAAGTTGGATAACCTGTTGACCGGGTAAAGGGGTTAAATTGAATACGATTACCGATATTTGGGACTTAATTGAATAAAAAAAATATAATGACTAAACCGATTATAATGCCAATATGTAAGGATTTTTTTTTTTTTTTTTTTTTTTTTTTTTTTTTGCAGTTTTCACTTAAAAAATTGAGCCAACGCATCACATACTTGTACCGTATTTGAAGGTCTTTTTGTTTCATGTATTTTTGTTCAAGATTTCTATTTTAAATGATTTTTTTGGAAACGGCAGAGTTTATATATATTGGCGT